GCTGGCTGGGGCATTCTGGGAGTTGAAGTCCTCCAGGCTTAAAGTGGCCAAGGTTGGAGACCCCTGCTGTAAGGGACAAGGTGACTTATAAATATATCCATGTACCAACCCACACTGCACCAGCATGGTAGATTTAGTCCATAACTTTCAATAATGAAACTATAATGGTTTGATTTGGGCAGATTTGACTTCATTATCTTAATCAAATATACACATCCTTGACTGTATGTATATTGGGGATAAAGATATTAATATATACAGTATGTACAATATAAATCCTCAGGGAAATGCTAACTCAGGTATCACAGACTAACCCAGTATCTTCCAGGTTTTTGAGATCCATTCATTTTTATAACTGTAGTTGTGCACTATGGGATCATTTATAACTGTTCTACATATTGTATAACTATATTAATGCATAGTATCAATGTGGGATCCAGCATTCCAAGTTGCTTTTCCTTGCATATTTTAAAAATATCAGTTATTGAGTATTTCTGAAGATCTAAAAAGTAACACTAAAGAAAGCTACTTTGGTGTGTTGGTTAAGGCATCAGGCGAAAGATCAGGAAACTGTAAGTTCTAGTCCCACCTTGAGCACAAACTCAGCTGGTATAAGAAAGAATATTCTTCCCCATCTTACTAAGTTATAGGGGCATAGAGAGTAAGAACAGACTTTGACTCAATTCTAGTTAAGTAGATATTTGAATGGATATATAAATGGATAAGTGCAGGATATTTGGAATCCTCACATCCATGAATTGAGAGAGACTCTGCTTCTGTCATATTTAGAATTTGGTGAGGATGGTGAGCAGTTTGGGAATGTCATTAATGCTCAACTCCTGCTTGAGAAGTATTAGCCAGGAAGGGCTTGGCATTATTCTAGTTTATGTGCCAATTACATTTATTCCTGAATTGAGAGCTGATTTAGGCATATTTGGTTCAACTATTAAAATACATTAGAGGGGTTACCCTTGAATCAGGAAGCTGTGATTGGTTAAGAATGCAGTGGAATGACTAAACTTCCAGGTATATTTCCTACATGGCATCTTCTGTTACTTTCCCAGTCCAACCCTTTAACAAGGTAGGCATGCTGGAGTTCCCTTCCTAAAGAAATGTCATCTGGTTGGACTGGAAGTAGTGTCAACTCTATTGCAGTGTCTACATTTCTTCTCTGACATTCAGAAAGCTTTAAAAAGCTTTGGGTATGCATTGGGTATGTATGATAGATAAAACCATCTTTGGGAGATTGCATATGTATTGATAGGTCCAATTCTATATGATTGATATTTCATTTTGCTTGCTAGTTTTTGTCAATGTTATTGACTTACATTGTAATTTGGATATTATTGTACTTTGGCTTTTATTCATGTATGCTGTTTAAATCAGCATACACAGTTGGACAGCCAATCAATCTTAAAAAATCCCCAAGTGACTAATTATCTAATTAACTAACTAATTTATTTACTTATTTAATGTACAGTAATAAAAATAAATTAGTAATATAGTAATAAGTCCTATATTAAATAATAAAGGGTTGAAAATTTTAACACTTTTTAAACTATATAAATTGAAGACATTTGAATATTGAATAAGTAATCACATTTCTTAGTCTTGAAAAATGAAAATAACTTGCAGCTAGGAAACCTATATGAGATTTTTGTTTTTCTTTTTTAATATTTTTAATATATGTTTTTAGTAAACATAGTAAATAATACACATTAAACTACAAAAAGTAAATTTGAAGTTCAGAAGACACAGCGGTAAATTTGAAGTTCAGAAGATGCAGCGATCTTCTCACAGTGAGAAGAGAAAATAAAAAAGAAACAAAGACAATAATAAAGAAGTGGCTTCCAACTGTCACTACACTGAGCATAAACTAACATAGTAACTTTTTACTCTTTTTTACAATTACAAATTAAAAAAAAAATCTTCTTTCCATAAGCCTAACTTTTACCTAAGCAAAATCCACAAATCATCATCTTTTCCATTCTGGTTCAGCAAAAAAGGCCTTTAGAAGTATCAGAGAAATAATTTATTCCTGATCCAATTGTCCAACTTTGTATTCCTTCTTTTTACACATCACAATCTTGACTTTTAAATCATTACAGTGGCATCACAGATTTAATCTGTCATTGGTCTTTTTCCATTCAAACTTGCCTTCGCCAGCCTACTTTGCCAAGCCCATAAAGAGGCATCATCCAGAATTTCTTGTAACAGCTGTTTCATGTCCAGATCCTTTTCTCAATTTGTCTTTTGTATTTTGGTAATCTCAATTTTGTTGTCTTCCATGCCTTCAAATTCTATAATGTCAGGTAAGAGATGCATCTTTAATGGTTTTTCATAATCTTCTAAAAGTGTCATACTTGAAATCCCTATCATTCTATATTAGGGATTAATATCTTTGTCCATTTTCAAAGTATGTTTAAGACAAGTAAAATATACGACTGGCTTAGTCAGTTTAACTCCTTTCTGCCAGATGCCTTCTTGTGTTCATTTCCAACCTTCATCATGCTTCAGTTCCTAATATTAGTTCTTTTTCAGTTACTTAAAAATTGTTAATATAAAAAAAGAAAATCCTGGAATAATTACTCAAATAAATACATAAACATCATTTATTACATTCTTGTTATTTTTTTTATGTACTGGGAGATGCAAAAAGTACCATGCA